ACCTGCATCCATTGCCTTTGTGACCTGATCATAAAAGGCAATCAGGTTGGTCTGACATGACCTGCCCCTAATGAAACCGTGCTGGTTGCCCTTAAGCATCATCCCTGAAGCCGGCCCATCACAGATGTGCTCCTTGAGGATCTTCTCAAAGAGTTTCCCAAGGATAGAGGTAAGACTGATGGGCCTATAGTTGCCCAGGTCCTCTCTCTTCCCTTTTTTGAAGATGGGGACCACGTTATATGGATATCTATATCTAGTTAAAAATAGGTAGAGCTATATAGCTATTTACTCTGGGGCCTGGGATGTTGCATGCCAAATACCATGGCCCTTCTATTAGCTGGTCCTGGATGGGGTGAAGCAAACTAGTTAAGGGCCTGCTTTGCCTTTAAGGGACAACACTGCCCAGCGTACTTGTGGTTGCTGCTCATATGTTTGTTGGGAAAGCAGGAAGCAGGCAATAAACCCCATCAAATCCTTGTTTGCTACTTAGCTAAAGAATAGACAAAAGATGTGAACATCTGTTTGCTTTATTAATTAGAAGCATGTGGTTCACACAAAGCATCTTAATTGCTATAAGCCAACGTTATAGTGCTAGACCTCAGGCTCCATTCAATAGTTTCATTAAATTAAACTTCAAGCTCAAAGAAAGAGGGAAAAATCCAAGGACTTTATGGAAATTCATGGGGGTTCCTCTTTGAAGCATGGATCATATTCCCTGCTAAAGAGACTTTGGGAAAGACAAGTAGATAAATGTCTGACTTATGATAAGTTCAGGTTTTTGATGAATGTGTGGAAAATTATGATGAAATGCTGGTGTAAGTGTAAATATATGTGTGTGTGTGCGTGTGTGTGTGTGTGTATGTATATAAGACATACACACACAGTTATTCAAGGTGGCTTTTATTTGCTTGTCCTTACCTAGAATAAGGAAGTTTTACATGCCTGAATGGACGATTGATTGCTGGGGTGTTTTTGGGGGGCGTGAAGCTGGTTTTTTCCCTAAAAAAAAAAAAAAAAAGTTGGGCAAATTTCCAGCACTCTTCAATGGGTTTACTGTTAATGTCATTTTATAGAGATGAAGCACTAGGGGTTGAAAAGACTTAAGCAGTGGGCAGTTGAAACGAGTTGGACTACCCTTACATAAACATTTGCCTTAGTTTATGATAGCAGGCCAGGATGTGTTTCTGGGTGGCTTTACAGTAGATAATTGTGCTGCTGTTGATGCAAGGTATTACAGGATGTTTGTTCCAGAAGCTCTGTGATGTCTCGACGCTAAGCAGCCTAATAACACACCGCTCAGTCTGCAAAAATCTGCTCCAGTTAAAAGGTGGTTACCAACTTGACACAGAGCTGAGTGGATGGATCATATTGTAAGCAAGTGGCATTTGTAGCAGATCTGTGATTTTGTGTACGATGAACCTGTCCATAAAGGGTTTTTTTCTGTTTAGCTGATGGGAAATCCTTTGTTGGTGATGGGTTTCTCTGAATGGCTTCCACTGCACTGGCACTTAAGTTAGTAACCTTTGAAATGAGCATCATCAGTGCCAATTCCAGGACAGAGAGATCTGATGGAAGAACAAGCCTGGCCTGTGGCGTGCCCCCTGTCTGTCTGTGCGTGGTGTTGACTTGGGTACTTTGAGCTGAAGTGTGGAGAAGCAGCTTCCCAACTTGGCTCTATGTAGGCATTGTAATGGAGAGAGATGCGAAGGGAAGGACCAGAGTTTGTTCTTTTGAGGGCGACTAGCCAAGCTATGTTCGTGAAGAACGAAGCCATGTTTGCCCTGGGGGATTTTTCCCAGTTTAAGAGAATGCTAGTCAGCCTTTGAAGTAGCTGCCAGGGCCACAGGCAAGTGCAGGCAATGAAAGTTGCTGCTTGCTCCAGAAGAGCTTGATGCTGCATCGATTGCTGGCACAGAAGCAAGTTCCAGCAGTGCAGAGAAGGGGCGAAATGGGATTGGTCTCAAACAGTGCTGTTCAGCAGGTCTCTCTGCCTTGAAGATGGGTCATGGGAGAACACTGAAATAACAGGGCAGTTCAGTTAATATATATATAGGTTTTAGGCATGTCGTCTTTAAGGGCTCTCACACTGGTGTGCCTGTGTGGTTTTGAACGCATCGGGTAGACAGGCCAGGCAGGTGATTTCCCTCTTGTTGCTTAGGTTAATTCAGAAAGTTATTTTCACTTCTTCCAGGTGCTTCAGGGAAGACTAGGCACAAGGGCCTTTTTCTTTTTTCAAGTCTTGCAGTCCCCTCTACTCTTGTTGAAATGTTCTGGGTCTGTTCCTCTTCTGACAGGTTCAGTCTGACTGAAGCCACTAGGCCTGTGCCCATATGTGCAAGCCATGTGGTTTTTTCCTTTCTTGTGGATTGGGCAGATGCACTTCAGGGATGCTGAAGAGGTAATGCAGCTGCTTGGAGTTTAGGGAGAGAGAGAGAGACCGGAGGGATTTCAGTTGTGTTTTTATGAACAATATGAGTCTTGATCTCACTTTCTAAAACCATCACTGGAAGGTTTCATTTCTGTTTCTGTTTCCTTTCTGCTCAAGGTTACATCTTGAGTGTTGTCCTCCTGACACTACCGAGACAACACCTGGTTCAGCTCTACTTGTACTTTCTGACAGCGCTGCTGCTGTATGCTGGGCACCAGATCTCCAGGTAGGAACATGCGAAATTCTTCTGAGGACTTGGTTTTAAGAGTTGCAAATTCTTTTCATGATGTTTTTTTTTTTTTTTGCCAGTAGCAACTACAAGCAGAAGGGAAGTCTGGGTTTGTTTCCTTGTTGTTTTGGGAGGTTGTTGTTATGCTTTGTTTCCTGTTTCCTCCCCATTAGCTATCAAGAATATATCCCTGTTTTGCAAATCAGTTTACAGTGACTGTGCTCTGCCTCTGAAAGGTGTGCACAGTCTGATCCAACTCACTGAACTTAGTGGGAACCTCTCTATCGACTTCGGGGGTTGGCTCAGGGTCATAAAGCATATTATTTCCAGCACAAGGGAAACTTCTTTCTGAAGAGGAAAATGCACTGCTTTTTTGATGCATGCAATGCCTCTTGGACCAAGAAGAGAAAATGTCCACAGTGCAGCTAAGTCTGGTCTGAATCTGGCAGTAGAAACTGGTAAACCAGCAGAGCTGTAGCACCTCTCTGAGTTTCCAAAGTGTTTTATTAGAAGGAAAAACACTTTTCCTCTCAACTGGCTGGTGGCTGCATGCAAGGGAAACTGTGGAATAAAGAGCCTGGAAGTGTCCATAATTCAGTAGTTCTGATAAGAAATATTGCAGTAATAAAAACAAAAGCAGTTATGGGTTGGTTCCAAAATGTAAAGCAGCAGACAGTAAAGAGTGCTGTGACAATATAACTGTACCAGGTAAGTAACCTTTCTTTGTTCTTTGGGTGTTGCTGAATACAGTAAGCCCAAGTGAAAGCAAGCTTGCTTTCACTTAACCAGAGGGTTGGAGCCCAAAGGGGGAAAAACAACTCTTTGGTGTACTTGCTTCAGAAACTTTGTGCTGAATTGAGCCGTGTTATCTTGGAACCCAGCAGTGGGAAATATTTTAAACCACTGTGTTAAATCAGCTTGCACTAAGCGATAGGTTTGAAAATGGCGTAGAAAAAAAATGTTTCTGCAAGTGCTTTGAAATGTCTTTTGCTTAACTCTGCTGCAACAGAGGGAAATGTAAACAGAGCTTTTTGTGGTAACAGAGCTGTGTTGATACTGTGGCTGTCAGGGCTCCTCTTAATGGTTTCCTGAAAGGGTGAAGGGAAGAATTATGGCAGTGTGTATTTCCTGGGTAGGCAGGAAAAAGGCTTCCCAAGGATTTCCCTGGGAGCCCCAGAGCTTTTATAGCTACAGGTAGTTGGAGTTTTGTCCTAGGTTTTTAGAGGCTCCGATTTTGACATGTTGGACACCCAGTTCTAAGAACTCATGGTTTAAACTTTGTGGGTGGTAATGAGTTCTGCTATGACAGTTGGGCATGTTGAGCTACAACACTGAAAGCCAACCTCTGGGGCAGGGTGGGCTTGATTTAAATCAAATTGATTTCAACCACTGGTCAGAAACCCTTGATTTAATTGTTGTTTTCTACAAAAAGTGCATTCTTATTGTTTGATATCCTCTAATCATTTAACTTCTTGAAACTGCACTTTGAGAGAGAGGTAAGAGCTTGACTGTGTGTATGCAAATTTGCAGAGAGACAAGAGGGCTGCTGGGTGGGTAATCAGGGCTGTTCTCTTTCGTCTCCATATACTGCTGTTAGCAAGGATGTTATCTCTGGAGACAACAGACTCTCCCTATGCCTGAAGAAGGGTGTTTGTACCTGAAAGCTTGCAAAGAACAATTTTTCCAACTACTTAGTTGGTCTAATAAAAGAGGCCACATCTACCCAAAGAACCTCACCTGCCTATGATTTCTGGGGGCACAAATCCACAGTTTGAGAACTGAAACTCAGCATCCCAGAGATGCTTCATGGGATCTTCTAGACTGAACACTGAATGCCATTGGGTAGAGTGGTTTTCTTTAATATGTACTGATCTATAGAGGAACCTCTGGGAATCTGGCCCCTAATACAGTTCATGGTCTCTTGTGACCTATTTATTAAACTTCTAAAAAGGTCACATGAATATATTGTCTCAAATAGTATATAATTAGAATATATTGTCTCAAATAGTATATAATTAGAAGTTATAATCCCTATTCCAGGATGATATGTACTGCTGTGAACAAGGATGTTATCTCTGGAGCCACAAGCCTACAGTTTGAGAACTGAATCTAAGCATCCCAGAGATGCTCATTGAGTCCCGTTGGGTAGAGTAGTTTTCTTTAACCTTTACTAATCTATAGAGGAGCCTCTGGGAACCCTATCAGATTGGGCCCCTAATATAGTTCATGGTCTGTTGTATCCTATTTATAAAAAACTCTTCCACATGTTTACATGAATATACTGTCTCAAATAGTAGATAATTAGAAGTTATAATCTCAATTCCATGATGATATCTTTGAGCTTTAACATATCTTAAATTAAAACTGTCTTTATATAAGTTTATCTTTAAAAAAAAAAGCTTCTTAAAAAACAAAAAATACGATTATATGGAAAATATCTGATTTAAATAAAAAAAATCAGAATTTTTTATTTAAAAAAAATATTTTTATCCACTCTGCTCTGGGGTTTTGACTTCTACCCTGAAAAGAGTGTCAGAAAGGGGGATATAAACTTGCCTGGATTGATCTGGAGCTTGATTTTAATTCTGACTTGAATTCATTCTCATTTGAATGTGAGTTTTAACCGTTGTTGCATTGTAAATGGCATGATGAATGGGCGCTATCGCAGTGTTACCATGTGGCTCGCACTGTTGGTGTAATGACACCAAGCACCGTGCATCTATACAGTGCTCCTCACCAGTCACTTACCAGGAGTTCCATTTAATTGTAGGATTTCACTTTCCCTAAATTTAGTGGTTAGTTTAAGTGATAAATAAATGGCCAGAATCCTGCTGTTTGATCCTGGTTTGGGTCCTTGGTTGCTGGAAGAATAGATATGTCTTGTGCTGAAATTCTTCGAGGGAACTGGTCCATCCCTGCAGAGCAGCACTGACTGGTCTGTTGGAAGACATGTGGCCTTGTCCTCTGTGACGGGAGAGAGGTTCCCCCAGTAGCTGGGGATGGTAGTAATAAAGGAAGAGCCATTCTTGGCCAAACCCAAGAGTTTCCAAATTCGTGAGGGTCTCATCAAGACCCTTTAATCATTGAAGTGGAGCTAATGTACAGATATGCTCTGTGCCACAGGGGTTGTGGTGATGTTCTGATGGTTTTTTATCATTCGCAATTTGCAAGCTGCTTCTCTGAATACTCAGTGCAGCTGAAAGCTCTCAGGACTGCAGACACAGTAGCTTGTTAGCTGACAGGATGTTCCAGGTGAGTAACGAGGTAACACTAGAGACCTATGAACTCAGTGCCGCTGATGCACGATACCTTGGAATATGAAGCTGCAAGACTGATATCTGCTGGCACTTGTGACACTGCAAGCTATTAGGAGGTTTGAATCACCGACTATCTTTGGCTTCCAGTGTTGCTGTTTCACTTTGTGCCTTAAACCACAAGTTATTCTGAGGACTAGGGGTCAGGAGGTCTGGCCTTTCTGTTGGCCTCTGGTTTCAGGTTTCCACGTTTTATGTGATTTTTAGGGTTGGTCACTTCACTTTTTCAGTGCCTTGGTTTCCCCATCTGTAAAATGGGAGAGCAGTAACAGGGATAATGAGGATTCATTGGCTAACATTGTGTAAAGCATTTGGAGAACCCCTGAAAGAACCGATTAGTCCAAATGTAGGATATCTGACGCAGTGAGACATGGACAGTGAGAATGTTACGTGGGATCTAAGGAGCCAATGGCAAGTTGAAGTTCAGCTGGGCCGCCTTGAGAGCATGTTCCAGTATTGTATGTGTAGTTGCACAAGCCTCTCCCCCCTAACCATGACCTCGTGTTCTCTTTACTGGAAATGGGAGTGAGTAACACTGGAGAAAAATGTGCAGTTATGCCGTAGAAATGAACGGAGCATCATTCTAGCTGCTTGTTTTCCTGTTGGCTTGTGCCCGTATCTTGCATTTGGCAGACTTTTTAGAATTAAGAGGGTTCCCGTGGAGGGGGGAGACTTAGAGGGAGCCATTTGTTTTGGCTAGTTTTTTAAAGTATTATTTGTAATAGGAGGATGTCCAATGACGTGTGAACTAATTCTGTTTCTGGTGCGCTTGCTTGATGTTGGCTGAGGTGACTGGCCAGCCAGAGTCGATGCCAGTGACTTGACACAGTTGGGCCAAATAATTGCAGTCTTGTGGCAGCTGGTTACAAAGTACCTTTTGTAAATAGGGAAAGCTTTCTTGCCTTTGTAGTAATGTATAAATCCCTCGCATATCAAGCCCTGTCAGACGTATACCTTTGTTTAGAAATATAAGTTAGCTGTTGCTGGCAGCGGTTATATTTTGAGCTTGACGGCACAATGATAGCCCTAGAACTGCGCTCCCAGCCACAGAAAATCTGGCAGTCTGAAATTAGCTTTATTTTTATGTCCTAATTTTGTAAAGTAGAAACACCATTTAAGAGTCATTTAATTACCCAGAAAATAATGGTTTTGGTCTTTCATTTTCTTATGCGGTTTAAGTCAACTGAGCTGTTCTGCAGTGTAAAAGTGGGTGCTTAATACAGCTCTAACTGATCAGAATTGAGTGTGCACCCGCGCTCTTGTCAGCATCTTTGTGTGGCACTGCAGCTCTTCCAGGCATCTTCTGACTGGTGTCTCTGCCAAAAGATCAACTTCCTTGCGCTGCCAGTGTAATAGTGAAAATTCACAGCATCGATTCTCTTATCTGAATGAGCAATTAGGGTAATACTAACCTTCCAGTGCTGTGAACAACAAAGTCTGCTGGGCTTCTAGGGTTTGCTACATTACAGACCTGTTTGTTCTCATGATAACTTCTTTTCCTTCAAATGTTGCTGCAGTGGAGAAAACTGAATGCTTCATTCCCCAGTGCAGGTGCATGTACCTCTGGGTCGCATGAGATCAGTCTTGGGAATAGCACAGTCCAGGGTGGTGCATGGATCCTATGCTTGCTGATGCTCCTGTGCCAAGGCAGAGCAGTCAGAGGGGCTTCCTCAGGTCCTTCTAAGTGCTGGGACAATGAGGTGAATCCAGATGGTCTCTTCTCTAATCCATTATTCTCTGAATTATTCCGTATTCAGCGAAGTTTGTGAAGAGATCATATCTTCACAGTCGAAATAGAGATAATCCTTTAGAAAAGAAGGTGCTCAAGGAACCTGCTCTATAGAACAAGGCAGAGTGTTTTGCCCCATGCCACGGCTCATAACCAGCTTCGAGCCTTCAGGGTTCAAGTTTTGGCCTGCCCTGCAATGGACTGATAGCCGTCAAGGGATGCTCGCCTCCTGGACAAGTGCTCTGTGCAGCAGTCCTGTTCCTCCAGGACTTGGAAGTTTGGAGATGCTTATGGCTTAAATGAAGGCAACAAAAACGATTCGGGGGCTAGGGCACACGACTTACGAGGAGAGGCTGAGGGAACTGAGCTGGTTTAGTCTGCAGAAGAGATGACCAAGGGGGATTGAATAGCAGCCTTCACCTCCCTGCAGGGGGGCTGCAAAGAGGACGGAGCTGGACTGGTCTCAGTGGGGGCTGATAACAGGCCAAGGAGCAATGGGGTCCAGTTGCAGCAAGGGAAGTTGAGGTTGGCTATTAGGATGAATTTTCTCACTAGGAGGGTGGTGAAGCACTGGACCAGGTTACCCAGAGGTGGTGGAGTCTCCAACCTTGGAGGTTTTGAAGAGCCGGGTAGACAGAGCCCTGGCTGGGATGATGTAGTTGGGGCTGGTTCTGTCTTGAGCAGGGGGTTGGATTAGATGTGACCTCCTGAGGTCCCTTCCAGCCCTCCTTGTCTGTGATTTCTATGATTTCTGCTCAGACAGTCCAGAGGGTACTGTGAAGTCAGTCATGACAGAGGGAGGCCACGTGAAGCTGCACCTTGTAGACTTAACTTTTCACAGCATCTGAAGTGAGTCTGGGCTCACAGAAGCTCATGCTATATGCATCTCTCATTTAGTCAGTCTGTAAGGTGCAAATCTACACTGCCTTCTGCCTGACTTCATACCAACACTACTAACTACCTCTCTTGGGTCATGGTAAAGACGGCCTAGGTGGAAGGATTTGAAATGCTGAAGGCAGGGGGAGAAAAACAGAGGTAGAATGAGGCAAAGAGGTCAAAAGGGGCATGTGTTGCAGCTGTTCAGTAAACCTGAGGTCAGCAGTGTAGTGTCTAGGACCCGCTCCCGATAACCCAGCAGAATGGGAGCAGCCATCTGATAGTGTGGTGCTAGTTGACCCCACCACCGCCACACAAAGGGCTGTTCCCGAACCTTCACGTCACTGTGCCCTTGACCCCTCCCCGTGTCCGAAACTGAGCTCGCCCCAGAGATGGCAAGGTCGTCTGAAGCTGGCAGTCTCTCGTGAGGCTGCCCGATGAGGAAGAAGCATCTTGTTCCTGTTCTGCTCACCACAATGTGACGGCGTCTCCTGTGGAGGTGACCAGTAGCAGAGTCCGCGTGGGTCTGTGGTTGATGAGTCAGTGAAGAAGTGCCTTGTGTGTCTCCGGAAAGTGGGGGTTGGGGTGTCTCCAGGATTTTATTAAGCAGATTCTTTGCTGCGGCCTGACGTAAGGAGGCGAAGTGAGTTGCTCTGCGTTGTGATCGTGAAGTCCCTAATGGTGCCCTTGCTGTCTGATGCAACTGTGCATCCCAGGCACAAATCAGATCCAGGTTCAGCGAGTATAAGGACGGTGAAGAGCGTGCTGGCAGGCTCCAGAGCCCGCCACCTCCAACATCAGTGAAGTCCTTGGTGCTGACAGCCTCAGTGCCCCAGGTGATGGTGCTCCTTTGCTGTCCCCACCCAAAAAGGAGACGTGCCCGGGCTCAAATGCAGCTCCCGAATGGAAGGGAGGTTGTAACTGGAGAACAGAAGTGGCTTCTCCCAGCACAGAGACGTGGAGCTCTCAATTGCAGCTAGGAGCAAGAGACGTTGGTGCAAAAACCTGAGGATGAGCCGGACCAGGGGTGAGATCCACGTCACCTCTGTATGTTCCTGACGCTGTTGTCTGGATTTCTAATGTCTCATGGCACAGCGGGATCAAAACAGACAACGCAATGCATCTCGTTGCATTACAGCTTGGCTGCATTCTCCGGCACTGAACCTCAAAGCTCAGCCGATCACAGATCCGGCCCTGTCCTTGTTTTCTAACAAAGTGTGAGCATCTGCCTCAGAAGCCTGCAAGGCTGTGATGTGGAGCACCCCCCTGACTTTTGCCAGACACCGTGTGCCTTTGGCTGAGCAGAGCGGTCAGGGAGAGCAGTCCGCAGTGACCGTCTGGTGCAGCTGACATGCGTTCCCGCCATCCTGAAGGCTCCTGGCCAGTCCTCCGGTAGGATTCATGCTGTTTTATGCTCAAAGAAGAGACAGTGGCTTTTTAACATACAGTAACTTGGGCTCCTCAAGGGGTGCCTGTGCCAGTGGGCACCTCGTCCCCGTTTTGGAGCCTTTTACTGTCACTGGCTCCACACAGTGCAGGAGCCAAGGGAAGATCATGGCTTCTGCTCTTCGTTCCCCTGGCATGGGATCACAAGGAATTTGTATGCTTCCAATGAAGGCTGCTATTCAGAAAGCTCCTCTTGTGCCTGGCCTGCCTGCTGTGATGCCCTCAATAACATCTGGAGCAAGTTGCTCTCAGGAAAGTGGCAGTTCCTTTCTTTTGATGGTCCTGTGCGTTGGGGACGAGCCTCACTGGCTGCAGGTGATGTAGGAGCTACGCAGGCATCTCACATCTGCGTCTTTGTGGGTGCATCTGAACTGTGTTGCATAAGGCTGTCTTGTGACACTATCTGTTGCCTAATAGGTACACCAGGAACTACTGTGCTCTTGGCTCTTTAGAAATAGTCCACGTGGGTTGATATTAGAGCATACTGTTTCTAATAGCAAGAGATTTTTCAATTGCAGTTTGGTAAGTTAAAAAAAACAACAATGAAAGAAGCAAACCGCTAGAGTTGTTGTTTTGAGCTCTAATGGGTTGTACTCAGCTGGAGGTGTGAATCTTTTGATGGTTCACATAAAAAACAAAGGAATAATACTTGTCAGAATTACAGAGCGCGGGATCATAGAGAAGGAGGGTTGGAAGGGACCTCAGGTGGTCACATCTAGTCCGACCCCCTGCTCAAAGCGGGACAAGCCCCAGCTATGTCATCCCAGCCAAGGCTTTGTCTACCTGGGTCTTCAAAACCTCCAATGATGGAGATGCCATCACCTCTCTAGGTAACCTGTCCCAGTGCTTCACCACCCTCCTAGTGAGAGAATTTTTTCTAATATCCAACCTCAACTTCCCTTGCTGAAGCTTGAGCCCATTGCTCCTTGTCCTGCCATCTGCCCCCACTGAGAACAGTCCAGGTGAGGACAGTCACTGTGGACAGTCTAGCTTGGCGGTTCCCAATCCGTGGTATGGGTACCACCAGTGGTATGCAGGCAACTTGTCAATGGTACACGTTAACAGATGTGTTATAATTAATTTATAGGACAAAATTTTACTGGTGGTACTTAAGGTTGAACTGAAAAATTTGCTGGTGGTACGTAAGGTTGTATAGTTTTAAATTTGTGGTGTGCAACCTGTCAGAGTTTGGGAACTGCTGGTCTAGCTCCAGGCTACTTCTGGATCCTGGAGAGAGAAAAAGACGTTGTATGCAATGGATGTTGAGGCAAGAGGAATAAATTGCTCCTGTTTTCTCATGCACTTTAACTACAGGTTACAGTATAAAGAGGCCCCTGACCAACATACCTTGCATGTCTTGTAACACTTGAAAACCTGCTGTGAGTAGGCAGAGCTGCTGGGTGCCCAGAACGGGCATTTGAAGTGTTTGTTTTAGTAGTTTGAGATTGATGTCTGAATTCCAGAGACTTTCGTAAATGAGCAGGTGAATTGCTCTGCTTGGGGAAAGGTAACTGGTTTTCAGATAGGGGTAGGGGTAGGGGTAGGGGTAGAGGTAGAGGTGGGCTTTTTTCACATGTGGCTGGCACAAGCTGGGATCCTAGGATGCATCTGGGAAGAAGCAGTTGGCTAACTGTAGCACTGAGTCATATGCTGTAGTCTGCATTTAATTGAGGGAAAGGCCTTTCCCCTAAGCCTGGTTTGGTGCTGTTATCCATCATAAACGGTTTGCTTTGCCTTGACTAGAGAATCACTGCTGCATTGTTCTAGTCCATCCTGTTATTTGGACGGACTCGATGCTTTGTGCCAAGGTCCCTGCATCTATTGCAGGGTCTACTGCAGCCTACTTGAAGCGCGGTTGCTGAACCAGACGTATCATTCGCTAACGACTAAAGAATGTTTCCTCTCTCCCCACCCCTGCTTCCCCAGCCCTCCTTGCTGCACAGTTTTTCTGCAGGAGATTCAGCTTTTTTCAAATGTTTGTGCAGACATGTGTCAAGCAAAATGACCCTTTCGATACAGTGATTACATGGGTTGACACCATCGTCCCCTTTATATGTGTCGATCAAGTGCAGGGTGCATTATAGAAGTGTGTGTGCGAGACCAGGTATGTTCCTTTCAGTTCGGGCCACCTGTATCTTAATGTTTTTGTGTGTTTTCTTTTGTTCTTTAGGGATTATGTTAGGAGTGAACTGGAATCTGGGTACGAAGGGCCAATGTATTTAGAGCCTCTCTCCATGAACCGTTTCATGACCGCCTTAATAGGTAAGTGCAGATAAAGGTCTGACTGGGAGGAGTAAGTAGTTACCTCCTTATTCTTTTCTACCTGTGCATTTTCAGTGTCTGGGTCCTGAATTGTTCTTGCTATTATAGCAATGATACATATACTCCTCCATAGAGAAGGTTGGGTCTGTGCTACCTTCTCTTGCAATTCCCTGTTTTCAGGATTTATATACCACAGCTTTACCAATATATAATTTTTCTTATGGAGCTGAACTAATTTTGTGTGGGGTTTTTGAAATGCTAGAATTAAGTATTTGCTGGTTTCAGCTGCTTTTTTTTTTTGCATTGAATGAGCCTGTCAAGTAAGTTTTGCTTTGCACTTTTGATTAGAAATTACAATTTTTTATGTATAACAATAGAAATATGTTTAACTCATGCATTCAGGATGCTATGGATAGTCCAGCTGGAAAATTGCATGGCAGCTAACATTCCCATTAAAATGGTTTGTTTCCTGCAGATGCTGGGATGGTATGTATTAAGTTTAAAAGGAAATCTTTGCCTCTGACAACTTCTAAGACCCCCAGAAACAAAGTGCTGAAGAAGGAGGGAAGATTTTGAAGGTCCTTAGTCCTCAGCAGCCAGGATGGTGTGGAGGAGGACACTCTTGCTGGCATTGCAACACTTTCCCATTCAGAACTAATTCACAATGCAGAATGTTTCAGTATTTGCAGACTTTACTACGGCACTCACTAAAGTAGTTCCTTCCCCCCTCGTGTCTCACTGATAGACTAACAACTGCTCTTTGGCCCTGTTTTAGAGCATCTGTGCTGTGTCTGGAATATAGCAATAAGCAAATTTTGAGTTCCTCAGGTTGAAGGCACTACAGGGATTCTAATATTGACAAGCCCTAATGGGCTCTTTTCACTTTAAAAGCACAGAATAAGAGTTTATTCTCAGCAGTTATTTGGCTTAGGTAAATATCCCCATTTTACGTAGCCAGGGATACAGAGATAGTGAGAGAGAGAGAGAGAGGCTTTCTGCCTTGCAGGTGTGTGTACCTGAGCTTTATTGAGCACGTAAATACAATTTTAAACTTTGATTTCCAAGATTACAATTTCCCTGCAATTTAAACCTAGTCCACGCTCAACAGCTCTTTTGGTATGTGTTCTTAGAAGTGCTCTGATTATAGCAGAGGTTTCTGGAGCATCTAAAGATCCTTCTCTCCCAGAACTGGCTTCACATCACTTTTCCCCCCCCCCCATGTGATGAACTTTGACTGGAAAAAAACGTGGTAATTGTTAAAGTGTTAGCCCTGCTCTGTGCTAATGGGAGGATGGGTAAATATTTACAGCATACATTCAGGTGATGATAAAGTCCAAAATCTCACAAGACAGGTCCTCAGTTCCTCTTGCTGAGGTCTGTGGGTTCTCTCAAATGATTGAAAACTGCATCCAGCCAGCCACGTACTGTTTATGGATTCAGATACTTCCTTTCTGCTTGCCGCTGCTACAGCGTATAGCGAGAACTGAGGCTGGCTTTGCACTTTTGTGCTTGGGTTATAACTTGTAGACAGGACTCTTTCTTCCTTTGGGTTTCTTAAAGAAATACCACTAAACCTGTCAGAGCGAAATGCATCTTTTCTCTCTCGCTCCCTTTCTCCTTTTCAGGATTAAACAGTTCATTTTTATTTATCCATGTTTTGAATTTCCTAAATTATTCCTGCTCCAAACAAAAATATGACGTTAGGATTGCTGGGCTGAAGTCACCATATGATTCTTACCGTCTTAAGATTTTTATCTTCTGTGGCAAGGTGGTCCAGAGACTGCATGTATCATCCAAAGAGGCCTCTTCCTTTCATTTCCTGGTAACTGTTACCAAAATGTGATTGAGCCCTTTATCGCACTTCTGAGAGAGAACAGCTAGACTTAGCTAATGAACACTTCTGCCCAAGTCCTGCCAGGTACAGGTGGCTAAGTACAGCCAGGCAGATATTTTAAGAGTCGCAAGCAGGCTAGAGGGAGCAAATCAAACTTGCATGGGTCATTCAGCAGCACTTATACGGACACTGAGCCAGGAGTTGAAACTGTTTTGGTTGGCCAATGTGTCTCTACATGTCAGTCAGTAACAAATCATTGCCATTCGCTTTATCCATTCATGCTTTGGTTTTACTGCGCTGCCAGGCTAACAGACTCGGCCTGCCTTCAGGAATGCAGGAAAAGCAGGGGAAAGGAAGCTAGTATAAAAGAACCAGTGCTTAAGTCCATCTTTTAATCATTTCAGCACCTAATCACTCCTGCCCCAAAGTATTTACTGGTACTTTTCTCTTCCTCTTGTTTAACAAGAAAACACCCTCTGAGGGGGTGCATCCTCCTCCCTGACAAAAGCTGTTCCAGTGGGTTGTAAAGTGTAACCTCACCAGCATCAAGTGAGCATATCAGAGAATTTCACAATGTTATCATCTTCTAAAAGATTTAAACAAGCATCACATGCCCTGACTGAAGGACTCACTGCAAGGTGAAAACATGGGTCCCTGGCTCCATCATTCCCCACGCATCTTGGTTATGTCAGATGAAATTCAGCATCAATAACAGTAATATCACAGAATCATAGAAAACGAGGACTGGAAGGGACCCCAGGAGGTCACATCTAGTCCAACCCCCTGCTCACAGCAGGACCAGCCCCAACTACATCATCCCAGCCAAGGCTTTGTCTACCTAGGTCTTAAACACCTCCAAGGATGGAGACTCCACCACCTCTCTGGGGAGCCTGTTCCAGTGCTTCACTACCATCCTAGTGAGAGTTTTTCCTAATATCCAACCTCGACTTCCCTTGCTGAAGCTTGAGCCCATTGCTCCTTGTTCTGTCATCTCCCACCACCACTGAGAACAGTCCAGCTCCATCCTTTGATTCAGTCTGGCATGAGTTTGACTGCTTCAGATGCATTTTTTTTCTCTTCTTTTAATGGAAGATTTTCAGCTATGTTCCCTTGTCCACATGGCTCCAGTAGTGTCAGTCAGGGCTGGGAGGGATGAAAAGTAAGGAGAGGTCATCTGTGTCAGGCATGATCTTTGCTCTGCATAACTCGTAATCTAATCTACAATTCCCTTGAGCTGTGTTATTTAGGGGTGTTTTGGTGCTCTTGACAGCAGCTTTTGGAAAGGGGCCTTCAGTGCTCATTTCTCTCTACACGTCTGTGACTCAGTCTGACTGTTGCGCCTGGGATCACTAACACACTCCAAGTCTGCCAGGGATGATCTGAGGGTTGCCTATTGTCTATAAATGTGCTCTTGTCAGCATGTTAGCTGGGAAATTTCCAAAGCGATGTGGGTTTGGAAAATATGCCACCCACAAGACTGCCCCTAAGATGTAACCCCAGCAGCAGGGACGGACTTTAAACCCTTGCGGCTCTCGTACTGTGGTTGGTGTGGTAACCAGGGAGAATTTGTTAGCATCAGCTTTTTGGAAGGGGAATAAAACAAAGACAGCCCCATCCCATATTAGGAATGATTCGGGGGAAAACTTGACCACTTCTTCCTACTTGCAACAAATTTTCCAGTGGGTTGTGAGCTAGGAGGTTTCAGGCACTCAGCAGCCCTGGTTGGTGTATACAGAGTTCTTGAAGAGGGCAAAGTTTTTGTGGTTTTGGAGCTCAGGAGAATCACTGGAGCTAGGCTCCTTCCCACACTTCTTCCCTGCAAAGTGTTTATTTTCTGCAGGAAAATTTCCCTTGCAGAGCTTTTATAAGCATCAGATTAGTGCAGCATTCAATCAGTGGCTTCTCATTTTCAGCACATGGGTAGGTGAGCGGGTTTAAGGTTAGCAGGTAATTAGGCCTGCTTCGTTCTTCAGGGTTTTGACGTCCAGGAGTTCCCTTCTAGACTGATGATGGCATTACCATATGTTTTTAGTGGCTTTTATCAGGCAAACTCCCCTTCCCAAGTTAGAACTCGGGCAGACAAATTTAGACTCTTGCGGAGAGATTTGTCTCTGCTGCTGCCTGTGCAGAGTGGGGAGTACCTTTCATTACAGGGGCTGTCAGGGACACTTTTGCAGATTCTGTCTGAGGGGGCTGAGAATTGGCTTGAGATAAAGCGCCCCACTTATTTATTTTAGTGTCATGCCATTGTCCTTCCTACCTGCTGGCTTTCAATCAGCATTTAGATTGCAAAAGTGGGAAAAGAGATGTGGAGTATTCTCCAGGAGTAAGCTGAACAGGGACTAGCAGAGTGGTGGCACATGGAAAACCATGATAATTCCCCTCTGCTGAAGCCCCAGTAAGTGTATTGATACTGGTATTGGGATTCCTTGGTGAAGTGGGTTGAGTTGTGGTAATTAAAGCAAACCAACTTTGTAGACCTTTGAGTAACAGAAAATCAAGCAGTTTTAACTCTGGCTCTTGCAAAAAATATTTCTGAACAAAGTTCATGTGTTAGGGGCCGAGAGCAGCAAAGTGAGGAAGTCGGGACTTCTGGAGGGTGGGCCAGGAGGGTGTTTGTTCTGGTTTTCATGAATGTTAAGTAAGGCAGCACCCAATGGCAAGTCCACCAAGCTGGTTTACTGGGAATGTTGATGCTTAGTTCCTGGAAAAATATCCTTAAAATATGGGCAGAAAAAAGCAACATGCAAGTATAAATGGGTCTGGGAAGGAGTGGAAGCCTTGCAAGGCCAGCTGCTGGGATCTGGGGAGTGGCTGTCCTGGGAAGTACATGAAACTTGATGCATTCTGGGGTGGAAAATGGCTGTATGAATACTGTTATACCCCTGATAGTGGGTACAACCTCAAAACAAAGGCGTTGTGCTTCATGTGAATGGGGGCCTTTTCACTTCTGGTTCTCATTCAACTTTTGCTAGAGCTGCAGCTCTGAGCCAAGTATATCCTGTCTGGCAGAAATGAGTTAGCAAGGAGAAGGGTGAATGCAGTCAGCAGCGCTGAAATCATCAGTCATGAGTTACATGCTCCACTGACTTCACCAGCAATGGGATATATCCTTTTATAGCCGAGAGATCCTATGTTAAGCTGCCACGTTTCAATATTCACTACTTTAAAAAAAATACTGGGCTCGCTTTCTTTGCACTTGGCTTGGCTTTCCTGTCTGTACAGGACCTGCGAGATGAGCAGGTGTCTGCATGGGACAGGGGGAGCTGGGTTCTTTTACCTCCCAAACTTCCAGTTCAGCCACTTCCATTCGGAGTCAGTGGAGTCTAAAAGTGGAAAGTTTTGGTCTAACGAGAAAGTTTAAGCACGTGGAGAGGGGAGGGGTGGAACAGAAACTGGAGTTCAATCTCTGAGTTAAGTTCAAGTCAGGAGGCTAGCATAGCCTGTCATGTTCACAGTTGGCCCTGCTTGCTTCGGCCATGAGTATCGGCACTTCTGTTAGCAATAATGGCCTGTACAGGTCAGACTGAATGGAGCTGGGTTCTCTCCCAAGCAAGTCCTCTAGACTTGATACACAAGCTGGGATTGTCAGATGTCCCTTGGCAGTCATAGGCAAGGTTTTTCCAAAGCAGTGTGTGTGGCCCTAGTGCTGCTCCCAGTAAAATCCCTGGAAATCTCCCCCTGATTGAAAGTGGAGCATGAGCTCTCTTGAAAATAACACCCTGCGAGGCCTGCTCAGGTATGGTGTTAACATAGGTGGGGGCGTGCGTGATTTTCATACCTGTGCACGCATGCAGACATGCCAACTGTTCCAGCATAGTTGGTTTTAATTGGCTTAATTATCTGCTACTTGCCACCTCCTGTGGAAATTGTGAGTGGCTGCCCTCGGGCACTTCCCGAAGTCTCAGCTGCTGACCTAGATGCCATTCTGCTGCTGGCCAGGCTGACAGATCCCTCCTCATTCTGTAAATATTATTGCTCTAAAGGCCACTGGGGACCTTTTAATTACTCTTCCCTTTAGCTTGGGGAGGCATGCTAGCCGAGCAGGGCTTCAGCAGCTCACTGTAGCAGCACGTACGCATGTGTGGGTGACGTTCACCGGAAGCTGTCAGGGTTGACTTGCCCAGCAGGCCCGAGGTTCACTCCACGGTCCTTCTGTCTAGCAAACCAACACACTGAGCATGTCTTCTGCCCTTACACTGGGATGCTTTCTATAGTGAGGAACTGAGATCACGTCTGGCGTGCATCCCGAGAGAAAGGTCTTGGAGGAACTTCCAAAGAGGCAAAGGAGTCCTGGTTTCATAGCGGAGGTGCTCCCATTAGTATAGCTGTCACAGTGGTCCTGGGTGCTGCCAAGTGCTTTACCAGACAGCTAAATGGAGGTGCAAGCAACTGGCTCTAACACAGCGTGTTGTGTTTCTAGGTCAGCTGGTGGTGTGCACGCTGTGCTCCTGCGTCATGAAAACCAAACAGATCTGGCTCTTCTCTGCTCACATGCTCCCTCTGCTGGCACGACTCTGCCTGGTCCCACTGGAAACCATTGTCGTCATCAATAAGTTTGCCATGATTTTCACTGGCCTGGAAGTTCTCTATTTTCTCGCGTCCAACCTGCTAGTACCGTATAACCTGGCAAAATCTGCCTACCGAGAGCTTGTCCAGGTAAGTTGTGGGTCAAACTGGCATCTCATGTCCCCCAGCGGGGTAGTTTTACTGTGCAAGTGCGGGACTCTAAAAAGCAATGATGACAAATTATCTTCTGTGCTTCAGTTTTAGGTGTTAACATCTAGTTCTGGTTAATGCCAATATGCAGTATTGTAGCATTACTTTCTGTAACCTAGTTGCACTCCCCTCCTTAGGCCCATCCCTTTTATGTTGGTCCCTTGCTCAGGCACTCGGTATATACCTTATGGCTTTGTCATTTTTTGGTTCATGACTCTTAACATTTACTAATAAAATTCAATATGTTTAGTAAAAAGGATATCTTTGCTACCGAGACAGTGCCTTAAACCCTTGTTTCAGGCGTATAGGTTGTAGCCGTGTTGGTCTAAGGATTTCTTTGGGTAAATCTGATATCTTTTATTAGACCAACTAAAATAGTTGGAAAAATTTATGAGACACCTGGAAGAATTCCTTGAGGACAGCACCATCAAACCCTTGATATACTTAAGGTATGTTGATGACATCTTCATCATTTGGACTGAAAACCTGCAATCTCTGATTGATTTCCATCAGAAATTCAACAATCATCACCCCTCCGTCAGACTCTCTCTTAAATACTCCAGCAGCAACATTTCCTTTTTAGACACTATAATCCCTAACTACTCAGAACGGTAAAATACAAACCACCGTATATAAGAAACCCGCGGACCAACATACATATCTGTGCAGAATGAGTAATCGGCCTAAACACACCAAGAAAGCCGTAATATGCAGCCAAGCCCTCCGGTACCACCGAATTTGCACTGATGAGAATACCCATGAGTGTCATCTCACAAATCTCAAAAGGGCTTTCACCCAACAAAGACACTCCTCCAGAGAGAGAGATTTCACTTTTGAGAGAGCCACCTGGATACTATGTGCAGAATTGCTGCAGTGGAGAAAGAAAACCGCCATGAATCGCACACCACTGGTTATGACATATCACCCCTTGCTCAAACCTATATGGAAAATCCTCAAACAATTGCAACCCATACTAGAAGAAGACCCAATTTTTAAAGAGATCTTCCCAGAACCACCCATCCTAGCCTTCAAACGAGCACCAAACCTCGCCAACGTCATTACCAGAAGCAAACTTCCTATGGCCCAAAACACAGAATGGATCCAGACCATGCCATGACAAGAAATGTAAAACCTGGCAATTTATCTCCACAATAAATACGCCACACAACAGAACAATCGATATGTCTGGATCTTACATCTGCACCTCCAGAAATGTAATACATCTCATCCAGTGCACCAAATGCCCTGATGGAAAACATGTAGTAGAAACCAAACAACTGTGCACCAGAATGAATGCACACTGAAAATCCATCAAAGACAAAAATACCCAATTACTTGTGGGGGTGCATGTCTCAGAGACAACTCCGATCTCTCAGTTCTAATTCTCAAAGGGAATATACAAAACACGTTTCTCAGATAAGCCTATGAACTTCACTTCATCAACCTACTGGATACAAAAAATCATGGACTAACTATAAACATTGGATTTATGACCTGCCTAACATCTGATATCCCAGGTAACCACTCTACTATTTACCAGCTATCTTCTTATCACCAGGTCTACATTCCCTTTCCCACCCCCCACCTGTTTCTCACCTCTTGACTGCATTTTCACTGTCTGGCTTTCTTGCATACTGGCCTCTGGCTTCTATTCTGTTCCATCCAGGAAGATCACAGATCAACTGCTGACATGTCTTCAGCCTGACAGAAGGCGTTTGTACCTGAAAGCTTGCAAAGAAGAATGTTCCCAGCTATTTCAGTTGGTCTAATAAAAGATACTGCATTTACCCAAAAACCTTGCCTACCTTCACCCCTTGTTGACACTTGCCTCTGGTCAACCCGTGGGGCCAGCTCACACCACTGCTTGTGACAGATTTAAATAAACTGCTTTCACCTGTGGTCCAGAGTGTCTCCCCGTAAGCACCCATCAAAGCCCTCCTTACCCTGCATAGTGCGTAGGTGACGGGTGTGTGCAAATCTATGAACGTCCTACTGCTCTTTGGAGAAGAGACTGTCTTTTGGTTCTTTACTTGTGTAGTGTCCCAGTCCATGACTAGGTAGTGTAGGCATTGGGGTAAATGAGCTATCACAAGGCAAATCAGAAGTACTTTCTTTCCCCTCACATGATGAAAAAGATGGGGCTTGTAGCTGTTCATATCTCAATGGAGGGGGGCAGAAAAAAGAGTAAGAGAGCAGGGAAGGGGGAGGGAGTTCTTCAGCTTGCCTTCATACAGCGCTAAGAAGCAAAGGGCCAAGTCCAGCTTATAAAATACCCTTTTGACTACACTAGCCATAAATCCATGTCAAGCTGGAAGCTGCTTTTATAAATCCTGATCACCCAACACTATAAGGTACACCAAGTCACAAATATGCTCTGAGCTAATCTATCGGCTTTGGCACTAGGGTGTTTAAGCACACACCTTGAAGTGGTTTTAATTAAAAGAGTGCCAGAAAGAAAAGCTACCCAAGTGTGTGTTTTGCTTATTCTTCTAACATAACAACCAGGGAGTTAATCAGGCTGGTTACTAATCACCTTAAAGATTTGGATTTAAGTGATTTTTGGCTTGACTTGCTGATTCCTTTTGTCCTTCTAATATTCAGTTCTTGAGGGGGAAAAATGTACTTGTGCAGACTCTTCCAGAAATACTGCTCACACCAGGTATCCACTGATGCATATGCAGCTCCAGGGCATAACTTCCCGTGTGTGTCGGACAAATAGGAAGGTATTTACAACATGCTGCTAAATCTATACTAGGCTATGCTAAAGAGTAATGGAGAGCTGGCTGGAGCTAAGAGAAATGTGATTTGCTGCTGACTCTCTTTAAGACCATTTGAAGCTGAAACATGGGCGCAGGCAACAAGGACCGGATTATTATGTAGTTTAACTGCAGGCTGGAAACACAAGAACGCCTTTTTAACTTTTATCTTTAACCTGGCTGCCATGGAATTTTTTATAGTCTTGTGAAATAAATCAGGAAAAAGGGATGGGCCCAAATTCAGACCTGGCGTTACCAGTCAAGGGAGATGACGCCACTCACCCCAGGCTGGAATTTTGCTCCCGTTCTGCTCCGTGACCTGCTCCATCATGAGTCTCCTTTGCCATCACTTGTGCATTGGCCAGGTTCAGGGCTACATGTGGAGTCACAAATAATTGGCTCAAGGTACTTACAGCTGGAATTCTGATATTGCTCAAAGTAGTTTCTGGGGCAGGGAGAAAATTGGGTGAAATGAAGGTATTAGACACCTCAGTTCTTGACTGAGTTTCCTGAGCCATTCTTCCCCCAGAGGATGTCATCTGTTCATCAGTATGGTGGCAGTTACAGTTGGGGGAGAAGGGTCCTGTGAACACATGTTAACTTGTTGTGCAGCCTGTGAAACCTGTCCTCAAAAGTGATGACAGTGAGTGAGACCCAAGAGGCACCTGGGGGGCACTGTGCCAGGGTGATTCGGCGATGCAGAGATTGGGGCCAGGATTCACAGGGGCCTTAACCCTAACACAGAAGCTGCACCTCAAGCCATGCCATCTGCTTGGGGTCTAGGGCTAGAGCCACATCCTGTGGGCTGACCTCCTACTGAGCTGGTTTGCTTTTACCTCTTGTTATTGAGGCATTGAATGTCCCATGCAAAACACATCAACGATGTTAGTGCCTGTGGTGCCTCTCTGGATCTTGCCCTACTCACTTGTAATATGCAAGTTTGTTTCTGTAATACTCTTCAAGTACATCTTTCCTGGTAGGTGTTCTCCAGCCACAATGACATTAAAGACATTTTTTGGCAAAAATCTTGTTGGTCTAATAAAAGATATCACCTCTACCATGAGCCCCGATTGCTTTCTACAGCCACAATAGCATTTTTTGTCTGGGGCATGAGAAACATCGCTGAAAATACTCGAGGGAGGTAAAAGCACCTGTGAAAATATTAAGATGAGACAAATTTCTCTTTGATGTCATGGTGTTAGCCTCCTGCCACTAAGTCACAGCTTCCCAAGAGCTGCTCCAGAATCCCTTAGTATTAATGTTGCAGAGGAAGTAGTACAAACTTAAAAAGAGCTGCAGCCCAGACGGGAACAGCGGTAAACAGGAGACGTACCAACTGAAGATATTTAGCCCTCCACTGTGATAGAAGTGTGAGTCACTTAGCACCTGCCTTTATATGGAGGTCAAAAAAATACAAAGTCATAACATATTTGTCACCGATCAGCAGAACAGCTGAGTGCACTAGCACAACAGTGCCCGTGCTACAGTATTGAGTGGGTATGATTCATTAGTTGAGCAGCAGCTGTTGTGGGGGGGGAAGGTTGCAGGGATTCATGAAACCTGCAGTCTCTATTACCCTTGAGCAAGGATATAAGAAGCAGACTGTACAATAGGCCATGCCTGTGGTTTAACTTCCCTCCCCCTTTCAGGGTAGCCAATACCACACACATTGTTCGTGGCTTTGATTGCAAACCCATTGAAGAGCGCTCCTCCTTGAACATACAAGCTATGGACATAAGCACTCAACGGGTCTTGTTTCTGTCTTGCCCAGGTGGTGGAGGTCTATGGGCTCCTGGCGCTGGGGATGTCACTCTGGAACCAGCTGGTGGTCCCCGTCCTGTTCATGGTGTTCTGGCTCGTCTTGTTTGCTCTGCAGATCTACTCCTATTTCAGTACGCGGGATCAGCCGGCCTCCAGAGAGAGGCTTCTCTTCCTCTTCCTCACAAGGTAATTAAGTAGCGCGCGCGCGCGTGTGTGTGTGTGTGTGTGTGTGTGTGTGTTCCTGAATGAGTGCATGACTTCTGTCAATAGGATGCTGCATCAGCTTCGTCTCATTCCAGTTCGGGCCCTCTGTCTATCGTCATATTTAAGCCCTTGGTTTCCGGGTTAACCGAGGAAGTGCGAAGTTTCTCTCTTTCTTCGTTAAAATGGATAACGCTGCTGGTTCTGTCTTTCCGTGCAGCATTCACAGCAGTGACTAGCTTAATTTTCAGTTAACCTCCGGGGATGGAATCTGCCTATTCTCTCTTACTCTTCTCCTCTCCTGAAGTTTTAATTTTGCTCCAGACTGTGGTATTGATTGTAGCTGCTGGCACTGTGGCAGTTGCCAGAAGTGAAGGCGAAATGACCTGATCACTCTCCGCCTTGGAGGCATGGAAACTGGAGGTGGAAGCTTTTTTGGGATAAAAGGCCTCTGGATTTTATTGGCTGTTTGCAAAGAACTGGAAAGTTCTTGTCCTAAGGGGCACTGCTCAGTGTCTCTTGTCATCAGGCAAAGAGAAGATGGACCCTGGGAATGAAAGACATCACAGCCCTCCCACGACTGACTTGCTTCTGCTCGGAGCACTGTGCTGTGCCAGGTCCCACAGTCTGTGCTCCAATGATGTGTGTGTTTCAGGCAGAGAGAGCAGAGGTTTGTGTGACATGGCAGGGGAATTTATTTGCTGTGAAACCTTGTGCCTCTAGTAGAGGATGTGGCTGTTGTCACATGCACAGATCTCCAGTGCCAGTCATTGTAGTGAAGTGCGAATATCTGTTAACCGTGGGTGATCTCTGCAGGCTAAAACAATCGACGGTTGAAATGATCTTAGGTTAAAGCACAGGTTTACCCAACAACCTGGACCACTGCTGGTTCTCTGGAATTCTGCCATAGGAAGGAGAGTCTGGAGCGTGAGTGATTTACACATCAATCCACGCACACCCAGCAGAATGAGTGTTATACCTAGCAGGGGTATGGAGCGATATGCAGGAGATAAACCAGCTGCCATCTCCAGGGGTCTTGCTCAGCTTTGCTGTTTAGCTCAAAACAAGGAAGGACAAAACTTAATGGACCCACCTTCACCCCTCTGAGTCATCTTCAGGACATCTTCTGTGGATTCTTTTTGGCCATTGCTGTCATCTCTGATGGCACAAGAGCAACAAACAGAGTTCAGAAAGCGCTGTACCAGGGTGCGAAGGATAAAGACACTTTGCATTGCTGCAATAGCAAACCCAGCACTGGACAGGGGTTCTTCTGGAGAGAGAGAGCTCCAGCAGCAGTTCTCACCTCTGGCAGTAACTGATAGGGAAGTAAGGTAAAATATTATTTGTCAGGCCAGCTGATTAAGATTCTCCATGCAGTCAGAGGGCTTCACAGTAATATGATCTACTTAGCAAGATGGGGGGAAAAGATTTTCTCTGCCAAGGAAGAGAGCAGTCTCTCTGCAGGTGTGCTCTTTTATTTGCTGTAATGACTTATTTCCCAGAGCTGTGCAACTCCAGAATTCAAGCAAGCGCAGTCGGTGCATTTAATAGCAATATCAAGTTGCCATGAACGCACAGCAAGCAACAATATGCTGCCTCTGTGTAGATGTTTTTACAGGTGGCAATGATTCAGGCATTCACAAGAAATGAAAACTCACGCTTGCGGCTTCAGTATGACTCTGAACAGTCTCTAGCTCCTCCTTTGACCTTTTTAAGTTTCTCTGGGTCCCTTCCATGGCAAATCCTCTCTGCTGCCCTTCCAAATGAAGTTACCTGTAGAGTTTTAACCTTCTGACAAAGGTGCTTTATAATAGAGCCCACCAGAAGACTTGGTTACGTCGGACCAGTAACTGGGGGCTCTGCTCTGACAGCTTTGAAACAAAGCTCTCAGGTTATTCAGGTGCCTTGTATACAGCAGACCTTAGATATCGCACATGGCTGGGAGGGGTGACTGTTGCCCCAGTACAGCCTGTGCGGAAGCTAACACTTTCCCAGCTAACTCTTTCCATGCACAGGTTACAAGAACAGTGGAGATTTGGGGAATCTCAGCTGTGCCCTTTGCCTTAGCAAATCCATCCGCTGTAACCACATGTCTCTGTGTGGTAACAGGATTGTCAGTCAGCAAGTAAATCAAACGGAGTGACTGTTCCTCCTAATAGAAAGTACAAGCAAGACAGTGCCACCCCGTGGCACGCTCCCGCAGCACCTGCTGAATGAACAATGGGTTTCCCCAGGGACTTCCTTGTGCAGCTGATGGGTGTAACTTGATGATGGAGTTGTGATAGAGTACGGCGATCTCCTGAAAGCGTGATTTGAGCCCGCTGGCATGTGAGGAGGAAATAATAGACTAGTGTCTTACGTAGCTGTCCGTGCAGGAGAAAGGGACACAGTTGTGCAGCTTGCTGTGTTGTATTTAAATGAATTGAGTTGTGATTTTTTTTCTCTCCAAACCAGCTTATACTCTTCATTGAAAAGATAACAGAACTTATTTTAAACATCTTTTTTCCCCCCTCTTATAGCATTGCAGAATGTTGCAGCACCCCGTACTCACTGCTGGGCCTCGTGTTCACCGTCTCCTTTGTTGCTTTGGGAGTTTTAACACTCTGCAAGTTCTACTTGCAGGGCTACCGAGCGTTCATGAATGACCCTGCTATGAATCGGTAAGTGCCAGGGAGCGTGTTTTTAAAGAAGGCAGCACATCGATGGCTGGGAAACTGGCAGTCTCTTGCCTTTCAACGAATTGTGTAGAGTGAACAGGGAATCTGGCAGGCATTTTATTAATGAGCCCATACGTGCTGATGGGGAGGGACTGCCGTGCAAATGTGTTCAAAAGGCCTTCTGCAGGGTTCAGCTCAGTTCAGTTCTGTAACCAAGACAGGGCGCCTGCTGTTTGGGGTCTGAAGTAGTCTCGTCTGCTGTCTGCAGCATTTTCACGCGGGACGAGTCACTGGAGGAATGTTCGCATGTTTAGAAGAACTGAATGTTTATGTAGCAGCTTCTGTTTCCTGTCTCATTTGTCCCCGGTTTCTACATGTGAAACCAAGCTACCCTTCTGTGGAACTTTACAAATACCACAATATTTACACAGACCAGCTAAAAGCTACTGTGGGAACCACCCAGGGCCGACAGACCACCTGTTGTTCTGGTGTTTGTCCCGACTGTCTGACATACACGTGGGAGCTGGGTGGTGGTGCGGTGGGCTTGACCTCTGCAGAAAGTTCAAACTCTGATTCAAGCCTTAAGTGAAAGACTCGTTGTTTAGAAACCAGGTTCTGAGATAGGAAGTAGGGAGCTGGAGTCTGTGTGAAGGGGGCACTGCCCAAATGGCACAGGAGCATCTTTGGGAAGAAGCCCCGGCTAGACTGTACTTTGTCTTGCAGAAGTTATAGCAGTGCTGCTCAGACTCCTGCCTGGTTAACTTCACTCTGGGCTTCCAAGAGAGTAAAGGCAGCTCTTTACAGGAGACTCCTTTTCCAGGCCCTGTGTTTGCCATCTTGAACCTGTCCCATATCTCCACCCTGCAAAGCACTGCCTTCTGAATGAACCCAGCTGGCAACACACTTAACGAGAAAAATCAGCAAAGCATAAACTGCAGGGTTCAAAGCAAACATCCGTGTTTCATTTCTTAGAGGGCAGAAAATAAATTAAGATTGAAACAGACTGCAGTGATAGGGCAGCAAGTGTGCGTGGGTTTCTAGTGGTTGCCAGATGTGCATATATAAAAGCTGGAGCAAAACCAGTGATGCCCTAAATTTTGCATTTTTTCTCCTTTAAAATGCACACCCAAAGGGGGATGACGGAAGGAGTCACGCTCCTGATCCTGGCCATGCAGACCGGCTTGATCGAGCTGCAGGTGGTGCACCGGGCGTTCCTGCTCAGTATTATTCTCTTCATTGTGGTTGCATCCATCCTGCAGTCCATGCTGGAGATTGCTGATCCCATTGTTCTGGCACTGGGGGCTTCAAGGGACAAGTAAGTGATTGCAGTGACGAAGCTGGCCCCATGTTGCCTTTTGCCTCCCCATATTCCTGAAGACTGGGAAGGAGACTAGCCCATGTGCACTAGCCCATCTCATTTATCATTGCTCTTCTCCCCACCCCATGTCTCTCTGTCCTGCTGAATGATGTACCTCAGGCAGGAAAGTGATCTGGATCCCACAGGCCTCGAGTCATCCATGAGCGTGTCCCTGTGTTGGCACTGGGCTCTCTGCTTGGCCTGTGGTGCTCGAGAGTAACTAGCATGCCACAGGGAATGGCAGGCAGCTTATCACCTGGTTAAACCAGTCCAGGAAAAATGACCAGTTATTCAAAAAAAGGTTCCATAATTAAACAAATAGACTAAAGATTAACACCAGTCTCATATGGTACCTGGGCAATACCCCTCTGCTGTGGGCTTGGACTGGGAGTTAGTGAGGCCAGGTGGAAGAGGTATGCACAGCCTTCCCTCTGGGCCCCATCTTGGGAAAGCTGCTCTTCTCTGCAGCTCCCCCTCAGCAGCAAGAGCCTTCTCAAGGGACTGCCTGAGGCTTGTTGCCTGCCCTCCGTGCTCCAGCCTTTCCTCGGAGAATCACAGGGTGGAAAGGCAGCCTCCGGGCTCATGTGGTCCAACCCTCAGTTCTTTCCAATTCAGCCCTGGAGAAGGCTTTCCTACCTGCATCGCTGACCTTGCTGTCCCTGTCTTTGGGGAAGGAATGTGGTCAGCAGCCCAGGAGCATTTCCGGCACCCCCAGGCTGCTGGGGTGACCTCCTCTGGGCCTGTGCAGGTCAGATGGTTTGGGGGGGTGGTTTCCTTGCAACAGGAGTAGGCACATAGGAGCAAGGGCACGGAGCCTCGTGGGTCTTTACCAGATGTCTCAGTCATGTGGTGTTTTCTTTCCTGTTATCTTTTGCTTTGCGTTGTAAGGTGCTTTATTTGCCTTTGGTATTCTGGCATGAAACTGTTTCTATTTGTGCCTTCTGTGTTCACTGCATGCATGTCTTCCCTTTATCTAGCCCTGACTGTTATAAATAAAAGTGGTTTATTTATAGCCAGCAAGTTCGTTTAGCTTAGAGGTTCCTCCTGGCCAGCAAGGTCTGTCTGCACCGTGTTAACTCTACACGGCTAGTACGGGGTGACAGAGGAGGATACAAGCAGCTGGTGGGTGCAGACAGATTGTCCCTGGTGACAGCAAACGACGTTGGTATTTGCAGGGCCCAAACCCACCTTTATGCAGATTTCTGAACAGGGGGAATGGGGAAGGTGATTAAAACAACAACAGCTACAAATCTAATCCAGAAATAGCATCCTGATATAAACCTTCAAACCCTGGCTTGCAGCAGACTAGCCTAATTCTGGTCTCTGCTGTCATCCCTTCGAGTGCCATCTATCGGGTTAGTGCATGCTATTTCTGGAGCTAGAGGCAGTTAAAAATACCAGCTGTATAGCATAGTAAATGGTTGGCATCTCTGGCAAGGTTTCCCAATGGGGTGTGTGCAAAAAGGTTAGGACTGTTTAATTTACAGAAGAGACATGATTTAAGTACCCAGAATACATGCCAACATGGAGGAGAGCACTCAGGTGCTTCTCTTCCTCTTTTCTCTTTAGATAAGAAGGTGACATCCATTAAAAGGAGCAGATTTAAAACATGATAAAAAGAAAGGCATGTGTAGTTAATGTATGAAACGCTTCACCCTGTGGTGATACACAGGCTAGCAAAAAGTCAGTCAACTAAGAATTAGATCTTTGCATGGGGAAAAAGATCTCCAGATTCATTTGACCACCTTGAAAATAAACCTGGAGCAGGTTATTCTGCAATTGCTCTGAATGGTTTCTTGGACTTTCATCTGAAACATCTGAGGCTAGCCACTTTTAGACCAGATATGAAATGAGTTAAATTACTAACCTGATCTGCTGTGACAATGCCCAAGCACTTTCTAGTGTAGTCCCCACCCCTTTCTTGCTAGGGGGGAGTCCTTGTGTGGAGATCAGAAAGAAGTGAAGTCCTGTCTGCATGAGCTTACACACCCTGGGAACCCGAGCGCACTTGAAGATATTAAGAGTTTCTTTCCTTTCAAGTAACTGCCTTCGGCAGCTGCCTCGACCACTGCTGTTCCAGTGAGAGGATGGGGTCTGAATCGCCGCCCCTGTCTGCTTTGATAACACCCCCTTCCCTTTGTTCCTGCAGGAGCCTGTGGAAGCATTTCCGTGCGGTCAGCCTGTGCCTGTTCCTGCTGGTGTTCCCAGCATACATGGCCTACATGATCTGCCAGTTTTTCCACATGGATTTCTGGCTGCTGATCATTATCTCCAGCAGCATCCTCACCTCCCTCCAGGTAAGGGGCAGTGCTCTCCTGACAGCCCTCGTATTTTCTCTCTAGAGCAGTGCAGGGTGGATACAATTTAAATCACTGGGCAGGAAGCCTCGATTTGATCATCGTTTTCTACAAAAAAGTGTATTCTTGTTGTTTGATATCCTTTATTCATTTAACTTCTTGAAACTTTGCACTTTGAGAGAGAGGTAAGGGCTTGACTGTGTGTACGCAAACTTGCAGAGGGACAAGAGGGCTGCTGGGTGGGTAATCAGGGCTGTTCTCGCTCGTCTCCATATACTGCTGTTAGCAAGGATGTTATCTCTGGAGACAACAGACTCTCCCTATGCCTGAAGAAGGGTGTTTGTACCTGAAAGCTTGCAAAGAACAATTTTTCCAGCTACTTAGTTGGTCTAATAAAAGAGGCCACATCTACCCAAAGAACCTCACCTGCCTATGATTTCTGGGGGCACAAATCCACAGTTTGAGAACTGAAACTCAGCATCCCAGAGATGCTTCATGGGATCTTCTAGACTGAACACTGAATGCCATTGGGTAGAGTGGTTTTCTTTAATATGTACTGATCTATAGAGGAACCTCTGGGAATCTGGCCCCTAATACAGTTCATGGTCTCTTGTGACCTATTTATTAAACTTCTAAAAAGGTCACATGAATATATTGTCTCAAATAGTATATAATTAGAATATATTGTCTCAAATAGTATATAATTAGAAGTTATAATCCCTATTCCAGGGTGATATCTTAAATTAAAACTATCTTTATGTTTTTTTAAAAGCATCTTAAAAAAAATTACAATTTAAATAAAAATTATCTGATTTAAATAAAAATATCTGATTTTTTATTTATTTATTTATTTATTTTTATTTAAAAAATTGTTGATTTATTTTTTTATCCACCCTGGAACAGCAGTTTGAAACCTTTTCAGAGTCAAGGCCACCCTCTGCCACTTTTGAATGAGGCGGCATCCCCAGTTGAGATCCGCTGCTGGTGCCACCTCGGCTCACCTCACTGTTCCTCAACTGGGTGCAGCCACCCAGCCAGTCTGGGAAGAACTGCGCCACGTGTGCACGGTGCCGCTGCATTAGGGCTCTCTGATAACCCCAAAGCAGATCGAGTTGCTTGGGCTGTAGCCCCTCCTGGTCTTCCCCCAGACTGGAAACAGAGGCATGCAGGTGAAACTGGGAGGAGGAGAATTTGGAGAGGCAGGGGAGCCGGTCTGGGAAAGGCTACAGCCTGAGTCAGCTCTGTGTGCTTTGGGTTTATTGGAGAGCCCTGGAGCAGCAGGAGCATACCTGCATAATTGTATTTGGCTGCTTGCATTATGTGGCCCCGGGTGAGAACCAGTGCCCTAGAGGATTGGGGGGTGATGAACCAAAATTGTGTGGGGGACAAGAAGGCAAAGGTGGGAGATGGGATATAAAATGTTTCATTTATCTCCAGTGGTGGCTAAAGTGGTTACTTTTGTTCCCAGCCCAGGGTGGAAATTGCTGTTTTCAACAGAAGTGCTTTCAAACTTCAAGGACACACAAATGGGCCCAGTAATTATAACATTTTATAACACTTTTTTATAGGAGGCTTCAAAACTGGGGTGCTCTGAAAATATTTGGGCGGCCAAAACATGATAT